AATGAGAAATATAAATAACTTACCAAAACAAAAAACGATTTTTGTAGTACAAAGTGACAAAATATTCGCAAATGCGGCACGACCAGATGCTGAAGTTTTTAGTATATTACGTAAATATAATCATAAAATGTAGTTTATTAAGTTAATAAAAAGGATACGGCACGGGCCCGCGTTGGTTGGGCGCCAGCGGCACCTGATTCCCGTTTCCACTCATATTCTTGGTAGCATAGGTATCGGGACACGTATACCACTCAAGGTGGCACGTAAAATCGCCCTAACCGATTGTAGGACACATCCGGCACATAGGTATATGATTTTACTGATGTCAACTTGACAAGTCCCACTCTTTAATTGGTATCCTTCAAAAACAATGGTTTCTGTAAAAACATTGTAGTCTGCAAGTAATTTTTATGACGTATTTTCAGAGGGATGTTATTGGCATCGGTAGAAATACCCAGTCACTAAACAAACGACAGTACAAAATGGCGGGTCTTAACCAATAAACAAACGTGACTATCACTCAAACAACCCGAATAAACTATTTAATAATAACTTATGTTAACGAGTTTTTGTTAAATATTTATAACTTTAAACAACAATAAAAAATAATTTATAAATATACTCTCTTTTTAAATAAATCTAATACATTGCTTTTAGAATCTCAGAAATGTCATTTAGTTCGTTCACTTGATTGTAATGATGTAGGTAGGTACGTCTCAGTCTCATAGTCACTAGTGTCACGTTGCTTTTTTGTTTAAGGTCTCTAGATTCGAGTCTTTTAAGCCTATTTTCATGAACGATGGTTTAGAACATTTTAAGTAAAAAAGTTGATATAAAACTACTTTAACGGTTTAATTTAGTGTTCCTGTTATATCTTTATAGTTTTCGTGATCTGTAAACGGTGATTGTACCTAATAGATTTTAAATTTATCCTAACTGTATATATAAGTATTGATGAGTTGGCTTCAATAGATGATACTAAATTGTCTGGGGTAATCTCTAGGTACATGTTTGTACAAATGTACAATTTAGCCTTTTTAAAACAAGTACAAGGCTTCTTCATGAAGAATGCTGGCAGATACACTGAATTTTCGCCAATTTATTCTCGTTGGTCATATAACTCACCTTGTTCTTTTTAGCGGTGAATTTGCATCTCTAAAGTATTTATGGACGTGTATTAAATTTACCCAAATTTATTTTTAGCTTAAAAAACGTTAATTCTCTACTTTTTTAAATATCAACTTTCGCATCAACAAGCGTGGTATGGAACATCCACCAGAGATGATTGAATCCTAACAAAATTTTCAGTTGCCAAATACTGAATGTTTTGGCGTCTTTCTGTGGTCACAGCTGACTAGGAATAACAACATGAGTTTAATGGCATGCTAAAGGATTTTCCTCCCACTGAGTTCATACTATTTGTAATCCCCCTTTCGCTTGCAACTAAAAGCAGTGCTCATATGCACTGAGATGCCTGGTGTTCTACTCTCTTGGTGCTCCAGGTATACGAGCAGCACTAAAAGAAGACTATCAAACCTCTTCTGCATACTTAGTTTGAAGAGTTTATAATCTCTTTGAAGCCGATCGACGACGAGCACACTAAGAGAAAACCAACAGCAGCATTGTACTATATAAAACAATGATCATGTGCATCTTAAGACTTGACTGATTCTCATATTTTTTGCGAGTTAATCAGATAATCACCACTAAAGTCACTTGACACCGATCCACACCTAGACATAACTAAAAATTACAAGAGTACATCATCGCCATCAGCATTTGTAGTGTAGATTTAAAAGCGGGTCTGGAACGTAAGAAGCCTGCTTTGATCGAAGAAAGCCACTTTTAAAAATTCTTCTGTCTAGATGGTAACCACGAACTATTTCAAGTGCATCAACCAGTACTTGTAGATATCACAAGGTTAGGTAGTATCCCAAGTTGACCACAGTTTCAAGCTCATCAAGACTTCACGTCTCATTTAAAAACCAAACAAGGTAGAGCGTTTTCAATCAATTTAGCCTTGAAACTGAACTGGGATGAAAAAGAGAAACAATACAATATTTAGGTAGTTCACAAAATCACATTTGTGTATTATACCTACATGTATATATATTTGGTATATAATGTAAGTACATTAAAAAATGCACTATTCTCATGGCCATATTACATACCACAGAATTTCATTAGTGAGGCCCCGAATAAAGAAATGTTCTTTAACTTTGTTATGACATTTAGGCATAAATCGAAACCTAAAACTAATAAGTAAATTAATTTATATGTCATCCATGAGAGAATTTAAATATTAAGTATATTCACAATAATCAAGAGCTATCCATGCATAGTCAAAATCATTTTAAAATGCACTAAAACATAAATCTATGTAGTTAGCTTATATGAATCACCAGAAAAATAATATGCGTTATTTTAGTTATTGAATTAAATAAAATAAAATTATGTAAAATATATAAAGTTCAATTTAATTAAATTTAAATTAAGCAAGAAACAAAGGAATTTAAGTATTTTGCATTATCATGTTGAGTCGTCTTGAAGCTGCACTATAGTAGTCTAAAATATTTTTAAATTATGATGAAATTTTGAGGATTTGTAGTTTTTAAAACCTTACGCAACCGTAATGACGGATTACTGGCTTCCCTGACCTCGTTAGTTACAGCGAGATATACATTGTAATCTATATGGAGCCATCTAAGTGGGCTTCGGATAGTCCGACGGTTGCAATTCGATAACGCAGCCTATCTACCGAGAACAGGTTGGTCGTGTGCACCGGGGATGTGCTCCGCTTCGCCGTCGAGCGCGGTGTTCCTCAGAGGCCCGGCCGAGGTCCTCAGCCTCTCTGGTAAAACATTGGCTACGATTGGGTCCTGAAAGACGTTTCCTGCGCTCCTCTTCCGGGCCTCAGCGTAGTTTGCTACGCGGACGACACTTGGATAGTGGGCCGTGTCACGGGGGAAGAACCTTAGTGAGTCTGCCCGTCATTCCTGGGCGGGGGTGGCTTTCATCGTCGACAGAATCTGAAGGCTTGGGCTCGAGGTAGTGCTCGACAAAGCGCAGGCTCTGTTGTTTCATGAGGCTCGGAATGCGTCGCCTCGTCACCTCGTGATCGGGGGTGCTTACATTAAAATGGAGGCCATTGGATTGCGGTACCTCGGTATCGTAATGGACGGTCGTTGGTGCTTCCGTGCTCGCTTCGTAAAGTTGGGTTCCCAACTGCTGACAGCTGCCGGTTCGCTGAGTAGGCTGTTTCCACACTTTGGAGGGCACTACGCGGTGGTGTACCGCCTCTACAAGGGGGTGGCAGATTCCAAGAGGCAATGCTTTATACTATTCTTGATAATTATGGCGTAGCCAGCGTGGCGTCCACCGTTAGGATGACAGATGAGGTACACGGAAAAGACTGCAATACATATTTTATTCCTCAGTTTAGTGTGCAATGACGCCTGAAGTCAACGTCGGAACGGTACTTTGATAAAGCGATGCGTCATGAAAATCGCCTCATCGTGGCTGCCGCTGACTGCCCCCTAACTCCAGCACGTAGAGGCCGGTCACCGTCGACGCCCCGGACAAGTTGTTACGGAGCTTTAATATTAGGAACAGGCATAAGGATCTTGGTAACCGTACTCGTTGAACTCGTTAAAGATTTTGTCGTGAAACGTAACCTATACATAAACGCGCCGAATTTCTCGCCGGATCTTTTCAGCGGATCGCGTTTCCGATCCCGTAGTAAATGCATTCGTGCCCTTGAAGGGCTTAGGTTAGGTCTCCTTCAGAAGCGTTTGGACGTCTGTTAGCAAATCCCACCCTCCTGGTTGAGCCCAGTCCTATCCTGGTGAAATGGTCTTTCACATCAGAGATACGACCTTCCAAAATAAAGTGTTGTAGATATATATGCCGGAGAAGTGTCGCAGGTTTCAATTCATGGCTATCTAAATGGCCGCTATCGCCACTCGATATATTGTTTTATTTTAATCAGTCAGTGCACATGTCCGGAGCAAACCGTGTCCCCCGAGCAAGAGAGCTTCGGCAAACGCTCACTCACACTACTGGCAGATTTGATAACCTATAATGATGTCAGTCACGTAAAGTCACGTTGTGCAGCTTGCCATTCTAATAAAATAAGTGACGTCGCTTAACCACGTAGGTAAATTAATTATTTCTGACACCGCCATTCTGCTTCTTAATGCGCTCTCGCGTTGCTTCTGGACGTCAGGTCCAGCCTAGGTGGGATAGCGCTAAGCACGCACACTAGCTAGGTGCTCGCAAACAGCTTTAAATTTTACACAAAACATAGCGTGAAGGCTTTCGGAACGTTACAGCTCTAGCGTATAATAAAGTGTCAGGACTTTCAGTAACGGTAATTGAGGCACATCGCAAAGCGTAGTAACTTTCAGCTGACCTTGTCGCATAAGGGCTGATACCCTCACCACCCCTTAAGTAGTGGGCAGTCGCGCAGCACGAAACAGCTTATCAGCTCCGAGATGCCTTCACTCCTCCTAAGTCCGGGAACGAATGCGCCTCGACTCAACCCTTGTAATGACACTTCAACCCTGCCTGAAGCGTGCCGATGTTTGACGAACAGTCGCGGCCCATATCCATTAGGTGCCGCGCTTTCACTTCATTTGTCGTGTTCCGATGCGACATATATGTATAAATTATATGCTCTTATAGCATCTGACCTATTTTAGGTCTCGAACTTTAATACTCAACAAAGAGCAAAGCTAAGCAGCTCTTAAAAAGTATTTGCGATATTTTACCGCTGAGTGCCCTCCTTGCAGAGAACTGAGACTTGTTAAAATTCACATATGTCACAGCTTTCTTCGGTGTTGCAGCTAAAAAAGGATGAAGAAATATAGTAATTTCTCTTCCATTCCAAGTTTCATAGACATATTTTGAAATACGTAGAGACAGAGCACGGTGCAAATTGAGTTTGACATAAAACATACCAGATTATTTTAACAATAATAAAAATGCAATAGTTTCATTAATCCTATTTATTTTCTGATTGCGTTTGCTTCACTTTGTTGTTATAGCTGACTCAAACCTCTAATTACAATTATTTATTTCATAGGTTACGGAGTCAACAACAAAATTACTGAAACAGTGTATAATACTCATTACTGTATTTTTATTTACCAATTAAATTACAATATACTAGAACACAATTTAGATATTCAGAGTGTCGTTTTCGAATGTTGGATTTGTTGCCCCTTTCATTTCTTGCATTTTTGACACCTCGTTTTGTGGTCTTCTCTAAAAAGGGAAAAATGGGTAGTTTATATAAGGCAAAAGTTATTAATATCTTAAATTAACTAATTATAATCATCGTTGAAAAACATCTTCAAATTTTGTTTCGACTTAGGGCGTGGGCGTCGGTAGGTACACAGCGAATTACAGTTATGGTTAAATAAATCTCTCCAATGAGGACTCTGCTTTTTATTTAATTTTTTAAATTTTACTGAACCAAATATAAGTGTTTAAAATTATATATTACAAACGTTAAATGTATTATTGGCCCTCTGCCCTCTGTTACAAAATTGTTAATTACATCATTTAGAAAAAAGGTATTTTTCATTTAGAAGTTTTGTGTAAAAATTGTCAAATAATGTATTTTATTATAATATTTCGTGCTAGTTGGCTTTAATTTGGCATTTGCCATTTTAATAAGTTGAACTGGACATACATATGTAAAACCTTACTATTACTGAAATTAAATAAATAAGTCTTAAATTGCTTAGATCTGACGTAAGTGTAATTGTTAAAATAAAGACTTTTTTTCCTGAATTTTAGTAACCCTGAACATTTTGCCATGGCATCGACATATAGATTTCGACTCATAGTCGAAGCCAATTTCTATGTAAAAAAGATGTGATCTAGATCATGATGTACTTGGTCTTGTCGTGTATGTATGTTTCCTGCAAGCATTCCAAAAAAAGGTACCCGAAAACAAAAAAGTTTTATTAACGTAAATTACGCTGCTAAAAGCTTTGGTATCAATCATTTAATAAAATGAATATGAAATATGTTGAGCATAAAATATGATTTTTTACAAACCTTCGACCGGTATACTTGATTTGTCAACTTTCTAATTCCGGTGAAATGGTTTTCAATTTCATTTAACTTCTTTCCCTCTGTTTCTGGTAAAATAAAATATAGCACCGTGCATCCCATTAAGCTGTAACGTATATAGATTATTATTATTGGACAAAGAAATTACGTGACAATGTTCAGGTTTTATATTGAAGCTACTAAATACCTAATTAACTAATCTATACTGGTTTTGTAATTTGTTTTTTACCTAGAATAGTACCGCTCCTTTTCGTGCCGTAGATGTCGTTAAGGAAATTACCCGTAGAAATGCTAGCAGTGTTCTTTGAGTATTACATCAGCATACCGCGATCTCCGACCAAAATTTACTGGTGATGGAGGGTATTATAAACCGGCACAGGTAGGTACCATCATCTAGCCCATTTATGCCGCGGAACAGAGATGCGGTTCAGTTGGAAGGCTGGGACAGGTCCTCATACACTACAATTGAGACTTCGATCTCATCTCCCAGAGTGAGTGATGGCACCCACGTTGTGACGTCTATGGACTCTTCTAATCACTTAACTCATGTAGGTCGTAAGCTCAACTCATTCGGTCGTATTAAAAAAATTGATTATAGATGATGGTTGTGGCTACTTCTTCTAGCCCTGTTTGGATTTGGACAAGATCCGACGCTTGGGTTATCACCTATAAGTCGACGTCGGCGTAAGATTCGATTTCTACATCAAAGCTAAGTACCACATGTGATAAAAACGGCGACGAACGGCGTTTGCCTATTTACATGCCTACTAATCTTTTTCTTTCTTTAAACAGGCTATTTGTGAATTTATCATTTTATTATCGATTATCGAGTAAGCCTAAGTTTAAAAAAACACTATTACTATAAAAGAAGTATAAAGGCGACCAGATTAAAAAAACTTTCCTGTTTTAAACTCAAAAGTCAACGACCGTTTTTCGTTTTACGTTTCGGATAGACGACAAGAGACAGTAATTTCCATTACCTCGAAGATTGAATTCATACTAATCACTGCGATTACCAGAAGTATTGTTGCTTTATTTAACAGTACTTAGTTTAGAGGGCATTGTAATTTTTTTTCAACAATCAACATTCATATTTGGTAACATTTTAAAAATGTGAGATATATTGAATACGTTCACTATTGGTCCTTATTCTGGACTGGCCATAGCCAGCTATTAATTGGAACACTTAACAGTAAAAAGAACTCGTACAGCTTTCTGTCAGTGATCTTCTTTTGCGTATCCCATGAGGAGTAGATTATTTCGGACTGTCTTATTCATTTTTTTTTCATTGTTTAATGACCAGCTATTCTCGCAGCTAGACCTAAGTCATCTCTGAAAATACGCGATATGGCTCTGGATCTTATATTAATTACCCTGAATAAATTATTTGGCTTTCCGACTATGGCCATAATCAATAATCTTTGTTAAACGATTATACAAGTAATACATTATTAAATTGAGTACTAAATACTTACGATACAATACCGTAAAATCCATACGTTCCCCAAATGGATAGGGTATCCACCATCGAAATGTACATTTTATTAGTTAGAAAACCAAATATATATCCTACAGCACTCGCTAATCCGGCACCACCGGATCTCGTTTTGGCATTAAATACCTGAAAATAATAACAGATATATGTACCTGATAATAGTCAGCCTAATAATAAATCAGAACCCAACCTACTACTATGACTTTCGGGTCACCCTCGTATTTCTTTGTTAGTGCCCTAATTTACTCAATTTCTCCTCTTTGCGTCATATTCATCAATACTGAGGGTCGTGACCACCCTTCTGTATCACCTTCTCACTACTACTGAATGACCAACTCTCTAATCCATAACTCGTCGCATACTATTGCTTACATAATATTTTAACACACTTTAAATAATAGGTGAATGAGATAGTACATGTGCAAGTCGTGGGATGGCCTTTCAACTAAAAAATAGAGAACCCATCCTATCTGTCAAAGAGGGTAGCATCTAACATGGTGTCTAAGCACTCTGGTGACTGCTTAACATCAGATGAGCCCTGAACTTGTTTGTCTATAATTGTCAGTGGCACATCCATACTAATACAAATTATAAAGGTGTTTATTTGTCCTTCTTTCACTTCGAAGCAACGGATTGAAATGATTTTTAAAGTGATAGTTTATGACCAGGGCAATGACTCCTCTATATCACGAAAAAACATCTTATTCCCACAGGAAAGTAAACGGATACATTTCCTTCATTGCGGTAAACAGCTATAGTTCTACACAATGCGCTCCGATAAGCAATTAATAGCAACGTGCGATCTACCCTAGAACATTTTCAATGTATTTTAATGATTCTTTACCTCTCCAATTAAGATCCAAGGGAGCAACCGAATGCCTGTGTGCGTGGCCAATGCCAGTACCATGAGAAATGTTGTTGGCATCCATGAATAAGGATTTTTCTGGAAAATGGCCGTTTTCTCAACATCTTACAAAACTTAATATGTAGACAGTTGTTGTGCTTTCATACTCTTGCTCATGCTCTTTTTGAAAAACCAATAGTAAAAATTAACAGTACATAAACCTTAAGAACGGCAATTAAGCATTATTATCCGTCGGCCTTATGGCTTAAGCCACCTCTTTTAAGTAAACCTGTAGGAGGACTGTAACACACGAAAATGCACGTAGCTATTGGCACTAGACACGTCCTTACGGATTCATCAGATCCAATAACCCTTGCATTAGACGCTTTCAACCCTTCAACTCTAACATTAGGGACAGGCTTAGGGACCCCAGTAACCGTACTCGTCGAACTCGACAAAGAGTTCGACGTGCAACCTAACTCATACGTCAGCTCTCTGAGTTTTTCGCCGAATCTTCTCAGCGGATTGCGATTCTGATCCAGTACTAAATTCATACACGAAGCGGCTGCCCTTGAGTTGATAGGCCTGGTCAGGAGGCGCTCGGGTAGCTCTTAGCAAATCCCATCCCTCCTGGCTGAGCCCGTGCTCGCCCACCTGTCCTGGTGAAACTGGAAAGGCCCTCGGGCCAACAGTAATACGTCCTTCACAAAAAAGAAAAAAGTAGCTATTGATTTATAGTTAAATGTGTAGGTAGAGTTATAAAAAAAACATCCAAAAATGCTTACCACGAAGACTTCAGTTTCACTGGTAAGAGTGGCATTGACATCAGTAACAACTCTTTCTGCGTTCAAAGATACTCCGCTCATAATGTGCTATAACATAAAAAGTATTACTAAGTCAAAAGAATTCTTGTGAATTCATAATATTATTTGTCGTTTAGGAATGTAGTGACTTAGTATTGTGTTATATACGTAATATTGGGAAGACCTAAAACATGCGTACATGGCTATACATAATCAATTCAATTTTATATAATTTGTTTAAAAGTGCTACCAAAATTCTTACAGTGCGAGCGTATAAGTCGTAGATGGCCACTAAGATACAGCATATACCAGCGACGCCCGTGGAGAAGAATGCGAGAGGTCTCTTTCCGGTGTAGTGCACTAATAGCACACAGGCACCGGAGCCAAGTATTTGCAGAATTCCGAGGATGAGTGTGGCGTAGTATTTATCAATAGGCGCTTCGAGCATCTGAAATATGGATACTGCATATGTCTGCAACATCCAATTATAAACATGTTTCACTTAATTTCTCTTCTGAGCATGAGTATTTTGTTGTACAGAATCGGGTTCATTAGTCTTGTTCACGATTTTGTGAAACTATTTCGTTATATATTATATATTTTATGTATTTTTTGACTTGTGAAGGAAAATGAAAATGACTAGTCACAATGGAAATAATGTATAGGGTCTTACTTAGAAAATAAGTAAATACGTATCTTGAAATCACCTGTAAAGTTGTCATGCCGCTGAAATGGCCAACAAAGAAGGAAAAACTGACGAGAAAAAATGGCAGTAAGAAACTTCTTCTACAATACTGATATACCTTTTCTGACAACGTTTCTTCCGTATTATCAACATCTGCAATTATTAAATAAAGACAGATTAAGTTTTCGGAAAAATATTTAGCCTTTAGCTTTGTGGAGGAAATATTATATCTTTTGAATTATTGTTATAGCCCAAACAACGTATTTCCGTCCAGTCTTTGGTTTTATCACTAATCAAAGAAATCAGCGTGACGTTTTTACTGGCTCTATTTGAATTAATGCGCTGATGGCTTGTCTGAAGTTGGTAGACGATAAATATATTACAACGTGAATGCGTGCTTAATAAAAAAATCAACCAAAAATAATACAGGTACATACGACTAGCACTTATCATTTTTTAAACCGATCTCAAATATTTTAATTTTGTAATTTTAACTTTAAACTTGCGTGATAAAATAAAGTGATTTAACTTCATTTGACAAATTGTTTCTAAGCGACTTTCTAATGTTATCTATTTGCTTAATTAGCCGTGAATCATAAATATACCCTAATTACAAACAATTACAAACAAATTATCAAAAAAACAAGCATTAGTGGATACATTAATGGATGCATTAAGCATTGCTCAAACATAATTTATTAACTAAAACAATAACTTGGTTACATGATCGATAGCCATAAACATTGTCTGATTTGTGTGTAAATAAATTATGAACTTAATCAGACATCTTTAATTCGGTGAAAATAACGTTAAATATACCGTTACACACAATATGCATTCCAAGCTAATAAAACAAATTTAACAGACTCATTATTTATTATGCCGAGTGTCCAAATGGATTATTACAAGAATTTACTTTTACATGTGTTTGATTTTTACGAACAAAATGAACTAGTCCAATCACCTTCACCGAAATTATGAATATTAAGGCTGATTTACGAAATGAATGCTCCTTAAAAACGTATGTGTGTATGACGTATTCGATTACAGAAACTAGTGTCTGCAGTTTTTTTTATAAATATAGGAATATATGTAAGAAGCCGTCGTCGCCTATTGGATAGGACGCAGGTGTTCTCGTATCGAGCGACATAGCCACGTATTCGACGCGTGATCACGAACGACTTCCACAATAACAGTATTGTGTAATAAAACACAACGCACAAAGGCTTAAAAGTAATGAATATAATTGAATAACCAATTTCGAAAAGGGCACATCTCTGAAAATGTAAAATGTTCAGGAAATGAAAAAATTCTATTTTCTAAAACAGTGTAAAATTTAAAATATTAACATTTGAGATACATTTTAGTGTTAATTAGCAATTGAAAATTACTGGAATTATTATAAAATGGGTGTAGGTAAGCCTCAAAACTACATGTATATGAAAAAACGTATTTGACAAAATATGCGACATGTGCCCTTTTCGAAATTGCATATTCAATTAAGACTTGAACGTGGACAACCTTCAATTATTGATGAATATGGGATCCATCACGGCACCAGAGACCTGAGACCACTCATCTATCTAAGTATCGATACTATTCGATTACTAAGTATCGATACTAATCGATACAAATTATTTAACCTAATAACAGTAAAGATCAAGAAAACATTAGAAGGTACTACATTAGAATTAGAAGGAAATACACTGCCTGTCTTCGAAAAACCCTCCTTATGTCAATGAGCTTTTAGCCGTTCGATTAAAAGATAATCTGTTAAATATTTTATAATCGAACTATAAATACAATTGTTAATCTTGGTAATATTTAGTGGGATCAGCTTAATTCATCAATGTATACGAGTTAAGTAAAAATTTGAACACATAAAATTAGAAAGGTTACAAAGTACATTTATAAGAATTGAAAACTTTAATGAACCTTTTCCTCTTTTGAATAGAGCTTTGATATCCTGCAACTCTTGTTCCACGACATGTGGACCTGTCCATCCACGAAGCCATTGCAAGCTCTAAAAAGAAAAATAAACTTAGACTTAAATCAATTTTCATCAATTCTATTTCATCAATCAATCAAGATCCTCATACTTCATTTACATATATGAAACTACAAATGAACTATGCTGTAAAAACAAGAAATATTTTATAAATGTACTGAACTCCCTAGTTTATAGTCTGGATTGTGGAATAAAATGAAATAATAATATGACCGATAGGAACGTATTATGAATACGTACATAATATATACGTATCCACAAACGGAAAATAGTATCTTGTTAAAATTCTCATTCTGAAACTATGCACGGGCGGCCCAATGAGGCTCAATTTAGGTTAGTTGCCTTAGTCATGAAAATTTTATGCCTATTTTGAATTTCAATTTAAAAAAAATATCCATCTGTATCGGCTTAAAGTTCGAACCGGGAATTATTCAAATTATTATTTAAAATTCACCTTTCTAGCATCTTCGTAACGTTTCTTAGCAACCAGCCAATGTGGAGATTCAGGAACAAAACATAATGCTATAACGGCCAAGATCTGAAACCAACAAACATTATGAACAAATACGAATGACTCTTAAGAAAACGACGTGCAAGTAGTTTTAAAAATGAAACACAGCTATCATGCGCAATGAGTGATGTATCTGAGATTAAGACAAGATATAAAAAAGGGTTAGCAAGAATATTTCGAAATAAATTTATTCTAATTAAATCGATTACTTTCTTCTTTATTTCAGTAAGGCAATGGCCTTCTCTTTTTTTTAAGATTTATAGCCTAATCGACTTTTCGCAATGCCATTATTGCCAGCGTCGAATTTACAGTTTTTACAGTTAGGTAAGTGGTACATTATCATTCACATTAAAAGTCTATTAGTGACGACTATGTTCACCATAGATAATATATCCAGCACACGTTCTCCACTGAAAAGTAATTATTAATATAAAGTAATGATGAATATAAGAACAGCTTTCAATTTAATTTGAAAAGAAAACACAAACTTACTGTGAATATAATGTTAACGAGTGCCACTGTCCTCCAGTACATAAAGAGACCAAACAGAAACTGTGTGAAAACTCCAATTAGTATGCACATAGAACTAGTAGCTGTCAAGGCACCTCGAAGATGTGGTTGTGTTATTTCTGCCACATACGTTAGTACCTAGAATAAGTACAACCAGACCAAATTAATTTTGAATAAGTATCAGTGCCTTTGGCCCAGTGAGCAAGAAAGCTTGTTTACTAACATCAAGCGCAGCGGTGACGAGGCCATGGTTCAACTAATTAATTACCTGTTGTAATGCGCATTGCTAACCACTGTGGAATGCAGAACAGCTGTTATTCCAAAACAATCGAAACATCTCTTGACTTTTTGTTTTTAAAAAGCATTGAAAAAAATCCTCAAGCTAAGTAGATTTCATCAGCCTGGGACCTGGAGGCGCTTGCTGCCGACTACGGGTGCCGTAGCAACCTTCGCTCTAGGGGGGAAGGGCGCCCCGGGGAAGGAGTAATTCAGTCGGTGCTGGAGACGTGGTCTCGTCGTTTGGTAGACCCGTCGGAAGGGAACCAACGGCGCAGTGCCACCATTGCGCAGACCGCGACGAGGATGACACAGCGAAACACACATTGGCGCATTGCTCGGGATTCGACGAACAACGTGCCGCCCTCGTCGCGGTCATAGCGCGGATCTGCCGCCGCCGCGCGTCGTTCCTACGATGCTCGGTAGGATGCTCGACTTCTGCGAGTCCATCATAGATGGAAGCGACGGAACGAGAGAGGGAGAGCTCTTTCCTTTCCGCACCCGGATCCACCATGGGTGTTTTTAAAACCCCCAAGCTTAGCCTTTTTTATTTAATTTTGAGAGCTTTTTGCATGTTGTTGAAAAATAGGCACTGTGCGGAACATAGATCAAAATAAAATATAACATCTCCAATTTGAATGGCGTACATTTTTTTTCAATAATTAGTTTTAATTTAATAAATAAATGGCAATATCGCCTATTGCGAGTGCATCATCTTGTAGAAAACGACTGAACATGGCAAAGAACACTCTTCTCTCTGCTCATCAAAGCATGGCGATCGAGCAAGAATAGTGATCTCGCTCTACGGTTGGCCTCAGTGTGTCTCATATCCATTGTTTGCCAATACTAATCAAACAATACCGATAAAGTCTTATTCATAAACTGAAATTAATTTTATTAACTTTATGCGTAATACACATTATAATATTCTATTATATACTTATTTCAAGTAAACTATATGCAAAGGAAAAATACTTGAAAAGTGTAATATAAGATGATAGGACATTAGCCAATATAGGTGTAGATAAGACGCATTTACCTCCAAGTTGTAACACTTTGATAAGAAGAGATATTTAATTAACAAACTAAAGGATTGCGAAAGCTATCGCCATTTAAATTGATTTATCCTTTCTGATATATTTACAGGGTGACTAAAGAAATATTGCCGATAATTTAATTTATATCTTATTTGTTTACAATCCATTTCTTAGGTCAGAGAATATCCTTGAACTTGCGTAAGGTTGATAAAGTCTTAACAACTAAATCAAACATTCAAAGACAATACAACTTATTTATGAAATGTACTTATTACTTATTCTAATTAGGGCAAACGAATTTATAGGATGAATGCGACCGCCGCCTTTAAAGTTCCAATAAACGAATTATTTTGGTCAGTTTTGGTACTGTTGGATGTTTGGTACTACGAACATTAACAGCAGTAGCCAAAACATAAGTCGCCATACTGGTCGAACTAGTCGAGTTCGCCGTGACACTTAGCCTGTAGCACCATTCCAATGAGTTTCTCACCAGAAACAACCGCCTCTTCTATATCTAGCTACAAGTCTTAATTAATTGTATTTCAATTGTATTATAATAACGGCTATTCTAGATTTCAAATTGCAACGCCATAATACATCGCGGCAAAAGTAGGCAAGATAAGCCACTTGCCAGTTAACAAAACGAAACACTTTCGGCCAGAGAAAATGTATAAATTAATTACTTACAGGTGCTTCAAGGAGACCTCCAGCTAAACCCGTTAAAAACAGAGCTGCATATAAATGTCCGGTACTGGTTGAGAAGTGAAATAGTAACCAAGCTATAAAGAATGGAAGGTTCACAACTTGCATAGAACGTCGGCGACCAATGGGTGTCGTGACTATGCCGGATACTGCACACCCCAGTGGCACGACTATCAAGTTTATTGAACCTACAGGACAAAACAGACTTTACATGAGAAAATTTTATTTTTAAGAAAGGAAAAATAATGAAATAAATAGGATATCTAAAAAACTATGTATTTAAACGGTAATTTAAGAAATCATTCATTAAATTGTCGCACAACAAACACACTACAAACTACTTATCATAAAATAAATATTAATCAATACTTATTTAAAATTAAAATTACTATTGTTATATTAGATATACTAATTAGTCAAGTCAAAATGTCGGCGTCGTCATGTCGTCGTCACACGATTTAAGCTACTCTTTGCATGAAATATAAATTAAAAGACTATAAATGGTACAACAGCTGTTATGAGGTAATGAAAAATATTCAATTTGTTAGAACACTATACAACAAAGATCGCTTTTCGATAAGATTAAACGAGAAACCTTTCCTAAGTGTCAATAATAATAATACAATAATTTAACTTATTTATATAAATTAATGACGCACCAACACAAAGTACATAAACAAACAAAGAAATGTTCAAATAATATTTTTTTAACAAATAAGAACGACAAGATACTTTGCTTGAATAATACAATATTACAATTAAATAATAATTTGACAGAACGTTTGTCAATATAAGCTTTATGATCCAATAATATGAAGCAAAACGATTATTTACACTTATAACTCGACTACAGAACAACAACAATAATGTTGTTTCTAAATATTGACGGTACTGATAAATGCAAGGCTAGCAAGCTATAGCAATGTCAAAACTACGTACCGAGATCGTACATAGAAAGGTCAATGCAATAAAATGGAAGCGTTATTTATATAAAGAGCTTTAATTCACAGGGTTTTTAAGAATACAAATTATTTGATAGACTAAAAAACAATAACTTTATTCTTAGTAGAACCAAAGGTACCTAAAATATAAAGTTTGTGTTTATTTGTAACGTATCCAAATGTTGATCCCTAAGTACCACCAGTCTTGTGAAGCGCACTTTTTCATCTGTTTTAACATCAAGGAGAACTGTATAATGAATATAATATGAACATGGTCAACAAACTGAGTACCTATTATATAATAACAATAACGATAACTCTTAGCATTAGAATAAGTACAGGCTACAACATTAGCCGAAAGACAATACAATATGTAACGAACGCCTAAATGATTAGGTACTGCTAAATTGGTATTTTAATAAACGTGAATTGTTTTTAGTTTGTTTTATTGGAGTTTTCTACGAGTATCTTGTAGTAAACGAGTATGTGGTAATAAACCTAATTATAAAATGATTAGCGATTCAAGAATGTAAACAGTTTTTTACTTACTTATCCAAGAAATCTCAGATTTTTCTAAATATAAAACTTCGCCCTCTTTTGGTTTCTCGACAGCGGGAATAAGTATAGTCGTAAAACCCAAGGTCATGCCATAGCCTGTAACAATAACAATTATGATGTTATTTCAGTCTAGTTCTTCAATAACGACACCGAAATACTGATAAAATATCAATTGTCCTTTAAAGATTTTTTTGTTTTTCTAAGAAGAAGTCGTGACTTTCACGTCCTTCCAGTTTCACGCGAGCAGGTGGGTGAGCATAGAGGCAGGGGTGGGATTTGCTAACAGCTGCCCGAACGCCTCCGAAAGAAACATAACTTAAGGGCAGCTGCTTCGCCAATGCATCTACTACCGAAACGGAATCGCGACCCACTGAAAAGCTCAGTCAAGAGCCACAGCAGGCTGATGCATGTGCTAGGTTTGGGTTTCTAGGGTCCGATTTCTAGGGTCCCTACGCCTAGTCATAGAGCTAAAGCTGCAGGCGCGTAATGACCATCATAGTGGATCGGATGGAACCGTTACGGCATTTCTATAACGTCGACCGTGTCTGACTCTTGCGTCAGCCAGAGTCAGATAGTACTTAGTCAGTGGCACTCAGTGGCAGCCACGACGAGACAATTGTCATGACGAATCGTCTTATCGAAGTACTGTTCCGATGCTGACTTAAAATGTTATCTGATGGATTCGGGGCCCAGACCATTGTGAAGGTCGACGCGAACGACGGTGTTTCTATAGCTATCCTGCAAAAACGGTATTGAAGGGACTAAAGGGTATCTATGTGGGTGTGGGTCGCGTGAGCGAACACTACATTCGCGTAGGTATACACAGACCGTTTACAAGTTTTCAGTGACGTCACTTTATTGCGAAGGGGACATTTTACTCCGCTTGCATGTCATAGAATGAAGTCCACTGAGTATAAATGCGGCGCGATTGCGGACGTCCTTTATGTGAGTACAGAATGTCATCGGTGCATCTATGATGGCTCCAAGATACTTACTTGCCTTTCCCGGCCCAGGGTATTCATTGGCCAAAGAGGGTTGGCCGGACATCATGTTTGATTTTTAAATGAACTTTGAAGTTGGAGAAAATAACGTTGATAGATAATTAATTAGATCATGACAATAAAATCTGCTTAAAAGAATCGTTTTATTTTATGGTATTACAATTTATTACCCAGTAATAGAAGGTTCTTTACGCTCACAGCTAAAAATTGGGGAAGAGCTGTGCGAAAATCCTTTTTGTATACATAATGTGCATACGTTGCACCATCTCCAGCTACTTCTGTGTCGAGCGCCATCTATAAAACATACAAAAACCCGTATGAAAATAAAATGAAATACAACCTATAATATGCCAAAGATTTGGATTTTGATAAATATTTCTTATGAATGTTAATATTTTAACTGTTTGTATTATTTTCTTGTGAGGTTATGCACCTCTTTAACGACTTTCTTTCTTTTGTTTTTCTTCAACTGCCCATTGCAACATACTGTCCGGCTACTTAATGAAAATGAAAAACTATTTCGAGGAATAGGTTAGGTAACATTAAAGAATTACAGAAAATTTCTTTAATTACCAATATTTTTAATCAAATATATTTGGCCTTTGTTTGTCCTGAAATGACACAATCGCTGCCTTTATTCTAACAGAAACTTTTTTTTATTGCTTAGATGGGTGGACGAGCTCACAGCCCACCTGGTGTCAAGTGTTTACTGGAGCCCATAGACATCTACGACGTAAACGCGCCACCCACCTTAAGATATAAGTTCTAAGGTCTCAAGTATAGTTACAACGGCTGCGCCACCCTTTAAACCGAAACGCATTACTGCTTTACGGCAGAAATAGGGAGGGTGGTGGTACCTAGCTGCACGGATTCACAAGAGGTCCTACTACCAGTAATTAGGCAAATTATAATTCTCCGGGTTTGATTTTTATTACACGATGTTATTCCTTCACCGTGGAAGTCAATCGTGAACATTCGTGAATGTTTTCAGATACATTTCCTAGAAAAAATAGGAAAGAAAAAAGTATATTACATTGATAAAAATACGTTATTAAATATGAAACGGTTAATTTTTTTTATCTCCTTAACTGACTTCAAAAAAGAAGGTTCTAATCCGCCAATTTATTTTGCGCGTTACCGTGACTTTTTTCTAGGTAAACCGATTTTGTTAACTCTTTTTTATCTGAAAGCTCAGGTAACTCATCTAGTTCCAAATTTTATTAAGTATTTTTTCAGTTGTCCTTAATAATGCATCTTTACTACATAGGTACTTCGACTACATTGATAATAGTTTTGTTTTGTTTTGTTTTATTTACTTAAGTCGATTTTCTTTTTTGGTCAAATTTTGTAATTTTTTATTAGAAAAAAGATCGGGGCGTTGCACTCCAATTGGTGTATCCGAAGACAGGAAGAGATGGCATAACATCGTGAGGATGAAACTCATGGATGGAGGTGGTCACGACTCTCAGACGCGAGAAACACGACTGCAGGGGAACGGGTAAAAATATTGTCTTAATAGTTACATTTCTGCACACATTTCCGTTTTCATCATTTTTAAGAAACAGTCTTTATAATAGGAAATACTAATAGTATATAATATCATCTTATAATACACATAAAAGTATATAATATCGGCGATTTTTTTTAAATACGATAGATCATAACGATTTAAAACTAAAAATAAAAACGATAAATACAAACGAACACTTGATAAAAACATTAATGGTTGAATTTAACTACATCACTTTTTTTCGAATCATTCTTGTGGCTACAGGTTGAATTCAAATGAATTCAAGGCTAAAACATAAACCTACTTGCTTATTTTATAGCTCATGGGTTAATAGATTACGTGTGCATATAATCAAACAACTGACATGGAGAATGCAATACGAAATATATTTTCTTACTGGAGTATTTATTTATTTATTTGTAATGTAACGAAAGTTAATGGTGGCGGAGTGCTGTATCTGTACAGACCTAAAGACATTACTTCGGAGTGTACTTTTTCGAACCAGTTAAACTTTGACATAACATTTGGAATGGGATTGTCAGATACAATCACGCTGGTAAATAAAATTTCTATTTTCATTTTCAAAATAAAACGTTCCTATTCGTTTTCACCCTTCGAGTTGAGATGAGTATCGCTCACCAAATGATTTAATTACAAACGACAAAAAGAACGATAAGAACGTAGGTACATTAAAAACATAAACAAGATGTCAATCATCAAATAAAGTAATATTAGAGGATTACGGTTTTTTTTTTATAAATTGTGTTTTTTTCAAATACGAATTACATATTGATATTATATTATATTATTTGTTATTTTCTTTCAATAAATAAAACATTTTATGTTTAAGTTGCTTATCGATAAAGTTGATTATTGAAAACATGAATAAAACAATATTTTCTGAAGAAAAAAAACGTAGCTAGATCGATTTATCGCCCCCGAAATCTCCTGTATACTAAATTTTATGAAAATCGTTGGAGCCGTTTCCGAGATTCAGATTATATATACATTTATATACAAGAATTGCTCGCTTAAAGATATAAGATAAATAGCTTACATAGCGCATCGAATTTCCGCGTCAAACAAGTAGTGAGTGAGAATTATCTCTTGACTTGATTAAATAAAGTGGTCAGCGAGACTCATCGAAGTCGTCGTGGCCTAAAGGATAAGACGTCCGGTGCATTCGTATTGAGCGATGCACCGGTGTTTGGATTCCAGGCGGGTACCAATTTTTCTAATGAAATACGTACATAACAAATGTTCACGATTGACTTCCACGGTGAAGGAATAACATAGTGTAATAGAAACCAAACCCGCAAAATTATAATTTGTGTAATTACTGGTGGTAGGACCTCTTGTTAGTCCGCATGGTAGGCACCACCACCCTGCCTGTTTCTGCCGTGAAGCAGTAATACCTTTCGGTTTGAAGGGCGGGGCAGCCGTTGAACTCATATCTCAAGGTGGGTGGCGGCATTTACGTTGTAGATGTCTATGGGCTCCAGTTACCACTTAACACCAACTCGTCCACGCATCTAAGCAATAAAATAATAATAAAAACTAACCTGTCGAGTGCAGAGGGTTAATATATTGCCATTTTAATAAGAATATATTCAAAAGACGCGGTGGCATAAAACAAAATACGATAGAACTGAAACTTGACCCATTTTTTCTTCGTCAAAAAATTGGAACAACTTCCACGGTGATGTAACGAGAACGTATAATAAAAACGAAAGTCGCTAAATTTATCAGCTTGTTTAATTAATGGTAGTCTCAATCCCGAAAATGAGACCTCGCAGGAATAACAATAAATAACGTATAAGCCTGGTTAGTTCTGCTTAGAAATAAGATTTACAAAATACATTTTTTAATTCGATCTCATGTTTCACGGGCGACGACATACATCTGTTTTCGTGCATCTTCACTTATATGTATTCCAAAAAAATTAACAAAAATGTAGCATTTAGATATGCGCAGATTCTGTTTCATTTATATGTATTTCTATTTCCAGATATTACGCAACCTAGATACAATCACTTATGAATGCAGTATTGAAATCGTTACGAAATCCAAAGAATATACCATTTTATTATCTTTACGATTTCCAACAAACTTTAATACGCAGTGTGAACTTAATCGAGAAGCATTTGTAATTTACAAAAGAAATAAATGTCGTCGCTTATGTGATTTCGAAGACCTTTACCAAACTGAGAGATATGTCACGACGACGGTCTCAGGAAGGTTACGTCTACATTTCATAAGTAACAGCACCATCAACACAGAGTTAAATGTCAGTATTTTTCTTCACTTAAAATTATTCGTAGTCGAGACGATAAATAAACATGAATCAGATGTCTCGACGTTGGCAGCAAAAACTTTAACTCTTTGTCTTTGACAAGGCACACAATTGTTTTTCATAATATGGTCGTGCAAAGAACCTACGTGATCTATGCTAAGATAAATAATATATTATGTAGGTATATGGTAGCCTAAATGCTTATAATATCTTAAAACATATTATTGTTATTATTGTTTATCATCTTGGTTGCACGGGCCTACGCAATGTGATCACCGGTGGCAAATTATACTTGATATTTGTAGGGTGTCAAGCTCCATTATTGGTGAAGTGCAGGGACGTCTTAAACTAGGATGGGGCCCTGGGGCACACAAAAATTTGAGGCCCTTTTGGAAAGTAAAAAAAGCGAATTATAATAACATTTTTTTTACTGAGTATGAGACCATTTATTATAGGTAATCAAATACAGTATGATATAATATGTCATTAATGATATTAGAATGCTGCTGGTTTTTTGGTTACGATTTCGATAACGGTTTCTTTCGGGATTTCTGTTAAGCAAAATCTTCTATTATAGGCATAGTATAATAGGTATGCCTTGTAAATACCTTCTGATTACTGATTTGTGAACAAAGTGTGATGTGCCCGACAAAAATGTTTTGAGAATAAACGTGTGAGAAATTGTCGGTCTTTCGGGGCCCCCTGAGAATGGGGGCCCTGGGCACGGGCCCCGTGTGCCCTTATGGTAAAGACGGTATTGGTGACGTGGTCCTATTACATAGCGCAAATGGTGGGATATTAGTTTGTTGTTCGTTTTGAAGAATTTTCCAGAAGAATCGATGAGTGTCTCTGCTTTTTGTAATAGGCAGTAAATGTGTGGTAGTAGATTCAATGTTTTCATTGATTGATAGATAGAATATGTCTGGGACTGACTTCTGTTGTTCATAATAAGTTCAGAACTATTGATACTTATTATTATATTTATTGACCTTCAATAATTAATGGAAATATTGTAAAGCATTTTCTTTTGTTTAGTCTTTTAGTATTCTTCACGTGCATGTTTGCAGGCAGATATTTATCAAATAACCGCAACATCAGCTCGAAAACGATCATTGAGTAATTGTTACCCTCGTAACGAGTCCACTTGTACTATAAATAATGTAACATATTGTTATACTAGCGGTGTCGTTTGCGACGGAATAAAGAACTGCGGTATCAATGATTGGTAAGAACATCAACTTTTCGTATCGAGTATTGAATGAGAATATTGGTCGTTTAGAAATGTTGCCGAATAGCTTTTGCCTGTGAATAATTACCGGATACCTGTTCTACCTATCAAAGCGATTAGGCAATTGATCGCAATGTTGACGAACAGCAGTGCCAATGTCCGGCGCGATTTAGGCCACATAGTCATTTTTCAATTATGAACTCTCTTAATCCATTTTCATTGGGACATGCAGACAGACACGGGATACCCGCATGTACCTATTCGTTGGATATACGCATTTGTCTTTATCGATCAAAGCAAAATCTTAGTTAAGCGAAACAAAACGATAATAGTCTTGCTAAATTTGTGAGAATATTAGATATTTATTAACCTAAAGTTTGAAAACCAGAAATATCTTAAAGTTGTTTTGTTTTATCTTAAAAAAATGTGTGTACGTAAATATTTTTAAATACATATATTAATGAGTTAATTGAGTAGTATGTAATCATTTTTAATTAATCATTAGTTTAATTTTTTATGATAAAGGTTCGACGAGCACCTCTCAAAATGCAGTTTACCTGTTGAAAAACTTGGTTACGCCCCAGTTATAGCAGTAATAGCTGCAGTTCTTTGCGCGATAGTAGCAATTGGTCACATTCTAATGAGACTCTTCCCGCCTATAACAAATTCATTTTTTATATTCAACGCTAATGAAGACAACAGATTGTGTTTGGACAGTGTTTATAAGGCACCAGATTTCGAAGATTACCGTTGGGAAAAAAGAAGAAAAACGTCAGTCATACCTGTTCGTACAAACATTTTAATTAATAAATTCCGACTATGCTTGTTGTTGATTCGTAGAGGCATAAAATTAACTGACTACAAACTAGTTTTTAGTAAAAAGTCACATAACATTATGCAATATGCAATAGGTACATACTTATTTTAAATATTTCAACTTGCCAAAGGTTATGGCCTAAGGTTTTTAGAATAGTGCCTGCTTTAATTTCAAAAGAGCACGTATCAGTCAGTTTTTATTGTTACGAGCATTTTACATATTAGAAAATATTACATACTGAGTACGTTACTCATAAAGCTATTTAAAAAAAAAAGATATTATCCAGTCTTTTGTTCTAACGATTTCGGCACGTGCTACTACAGTTTCCGACATAAATATTTATTTTACAAAGAAACTTGTGTATTAATAAGATACTAAAGAAAATTTTCTTGCTAGCCTCAAAAACAAAACAAAACATTGAATCGCATATACCTACTGTTGGGAAACCATAAAATATTTGATCATTGTGATTCCTCTTTATCGATTTAATTCTACACAAGTAGTAGTATTTATTACTGCTTCAAAATGTTAATTAATATTCACCATCGCACATTTTAGATAAAAAACTAAAGCAGTAATGATACTGTGTTGTTCAAGCTTCAAGTTTTGCAGGTTTTGTCTAGTTCTTCGTTTAGTACGTTGTCGAGTGTGGATCATGTTATAAACGTGATGCATGAAATGGATAAGAAGAATAATTCAGGGAGAATAACACAAGTGAGAAATGTTTAATAATTCATTGTATGAAAAATTACGATCTTTGGTTTTTATTGCGTCTGTTATACAACATTAAAACGTAACATTATCGAGTTTCTTATTAAGTTCTCGTTTGAGATTACAACGGAATTGACGGAAAAAAATGTAAATTTAATTCATTAATATCAGAGCGAACAAAAACTTCAACAGTATTCAGCTGAGAAATATTACCTTTCTGGTCACCAAAATGTCGGTATTCATATTAAAAATGTGTTCTTTAAAAATAATTAAAATGGAGTACAAAAAAAACGTATCTCCGTAAATAATAACTTATATTTAGGAGTAGTGTTATAATACATTTTTAGTGTTGATAACGATTCGAATAAATACCGTACCAGACAGACAGTGTTGTTTTTTGGATATGTATTATTTGGAACATACAATGGTATTGTGCCATTCCGGTATCATCCAGTTGTTACTGATTCACGTATGTCCTACCATCATTACGTACATACCCGATTTTCTTGATCAACCTACAACATGATTGATGCCCTGAATAGTACTATTTATCGGTACTTACGATGGTAATAGGGAAAACTGTGAACCTGCACAGTTGTATCACACTCTCTTAATTATTTACATATTATTATGCAGAATAATAATAAAAAGTTTTGTCATTTAGTGTTTGTTTTTCAAAAATATAGAATCGAATAGTTATATTAATGGTTAATTTATTAATGTAATAATAATAGATTTCACATTATATGGGGCATTATTGCCAAATCTTAAAAATATACGGATCTATCGTTTTAGTTAGTTTATATTTTGTTCACCTTAACGGCCGCCATTTTCGAAATCGTCAACCTAACAGACAATCCATGGAACTTTATCAAGTGGGTGCACACAGAAAACGATCAGTTCAGATCAAACTGTTGCTAGCAGGGGTCGCGAATTATGGATTACGAAAGTAATTTTATTACTTTAATGAAGTCTATCTTTTAACAGGAAAGGCAACAGAAATGGCAGAGAAAGAAAACAATGTTCAAGTCAATGACGGAGACTATTCAGAAAAGAATATTGTCAATAGCTAATCGAGGACAGATAAAGTTTAATACTAGAGAATCCACTTCCGAGAATGCTGAACGCATTTAAATTTAGTACTTGGAGCACAGAGATCCAAATCGACATGTATCTTATAAAAATATAATGATTTGAGACTACACAAGGACACATCTAATTATTGTCTACTAGAATCCTCTTCTGATTATTGCGTCTGAAATTAAAGTTCAATGTGGTGTGATTAAAAATAAAAAAACTCACTTTTGGCATTTCGTAACTTAATAATGTGCCAGCATTATTCCCAAGAAAAATTATCGTACTAACATAGTGCGTTCGCTCAGAGATTGCCGTGAACAACCATTGATAGCTCGATCATTTATCAATATACTAAGAACATTATCTATATCCCTAAGTACTAAATATTTTATAGGATAGTAGGAATCTCTCTCTGCACCATTTTATCTTTATTTATCTTTAGTATAAGTGGTAGGGTTTAATTTAGTTTTTATAATAAGACCTCTTAAAAAAAGTAACTGTACTGTGTGTGCTGTGCCTCTGAAAATATTTTGGAATACTGGAAATACATGAATGGATTATTATCTGGGCACAGTTAAAAGACCGGGAATGATTTAATGTGAAATCAGTATTGTATTCCTGACGTTCAATTACGATTTAGAAGAACGTAAGTCTTGTACATATCTTAATAGTAACTGTGGGTATATCAGTGTAATACCTAATTGTTAAAGTAACAAACCGTTATTATAAAATTAAGAAAAAAAATGTGTGTGTGTGCAAGTCACACACGGTCGAAGTGAAACTTATAAAATATAAAAATAATCGCAAGAAAATGACGTATTTGGGGCGACGTCGACTGCTTTCCATTCTGTCCGCAGGATCGGGAATGTAGTTACCGGCGGCCACGATAAGAGGGTTCTCGTGTCGTGCCGCTTTATCGAAGTGGCGCATCGACGCCGACTGAAGATACTTATTGATGGATGATTTAACAATAGAGAAATACGACAACGTCTATCAACTGTGTAACATCTCGTCACCGCGATTCAGTAATTGTTGAATTTACGTGCAGTGATATCTGTTGATAACAAACTAAATAGAAATAAAATAAACATGGCGCGTAACGGAAGAAATTAAGATGGTGCGTAACCGAAAAACGTTACATACGTTTTTTCCTCCCTACGTCGATAAAAAAGTTTCACTTCATTAAAAGCTAATGATTAAATAATTCTCACTTTTGATTAAGAGTAGAAATCAACATGTATAATATTGTTACGAGATCGAATTCAGGATAAAATAATGAACATGTTTCCACCTAACAAACGTTCTTTGACCGTTTTCAAAAACAAAATCACACAAGAGGGCCCCAAATATTTTTTTCTGTATTCACTAGTATCTAACAAGCTATTACATTTTACAATAACTATGTTCTACAGCACTATGGCGCATTTTTGATTTCACTTTTCCCTATTTACCGTATCGTTTCTCTCGCTGAGCATTCTTCAGTTCAACTTACTTATTATTTTTGGAACGAAGTTCCTTATGGGACGATGTGGAGGGATACCCTAACCGGGAAAAAACGTCCGTAACGTAAGATTTTTATTAGTAATGCACACAGTGTACGACTTAACTTTGTAATAACGTACAAAAAACAACATATTTTTTATCATTAATTGACCACGATCTCAGAGCGTTCGTTTGCGCAATACACTAACTCTTATGCAAATAACCGTGAATGAAGTGTACCACAATAAGTTCGCACGTAATAAGGAACTTCGTTCCTATCCAGTGTCCCACGACACCACACATTTTTTATACAGTGATTGTTTCTTTGTCGGAGGCCTTTCTGTCGGAAGAGTTTCAAGCACCGAGGCTCTGCTAAAAGAGTGAAGACTGGTTTGAAGATTTAACAGTTTAAGATCATAATGAACAGCTCAAGATACACCAGAATTGCATCGGGTAGATTCATCAAGAACGCCGTAGTTGCGTTTATTAGCGCTTTTATATCAAATCAGTCGAACCTTCTTGAACGATACTCGCACGACCCGATGTTTTTTTTATTGTCATCGAAAATAATTTGCCGCGCTATTCTTCGCTTTGGAGTGAGAGCGGAGCGACATGCGGTTCATCTCTGCGCTCCCCTAAGGTAAACTGTTAGAGAATGCCTATGGCATTAAGTCCGCTTTTATACTTTCTAGTATATGAAGTTATAAATAAATAAATAAATAAACATGCGCGACACTGCTAGTTGTTATGCGTGGTATTTCAAACATACACAAACTTAAGTCAGTAAACGAATAAAGTTTAAGTTGGTTGGTTCAGGTTAAGTAAGTTCCTCTTTCGGATTTTCAAGATACCTACCCTGTATTTGTTTATACATTTTGTGTATTTAAATTATCATATAAGGCGTTGGACTTGTTTTAATGTAGCCTTTCCAAATTTTATAACTTATGTTACATTGACTTTGAGACTGGTGAAAAAAAGAAACAGGTATTTGATGTAACCTCGCTATTTTTAAATATCACTGGCGCCTTTTTCTATACGTATCCGAATACAATCATGAATATGTTTTTTCGTTTCTTTTTATTAATGTGTTTTTTTTTCTGTACGTCTAAGCGTCTTCGAGTATTTTTAATCATGAGTTGAAAACTTTGCACTTTTTGCTGGAGCTGCAGTTGCCGATTGTTGACAATTAATAAATACTAGTCGTATACAAGAATGTGTGAGTCAATGAGATGGAATGAATAATTATGGTAGGTACTAAGTAATAACACTTGAGTGCGTTGATAAGAATGTTAATCTATTTCAAATTACAGCAGATAAACTGAAACACCAACAGTGAATGTTGTTTGGTCTTCACACGTTGTGTGAATGTGTAATGGCGGCTGTTCAAATAATTGAAAAATGGTTTTCATTTTGTTCTTAATTCGAAATATAGAAAAGAAAAATAATAACGTTTGTGTGTGTATTATGGTAAAGTAAGTTGGGCCTCTAGTCTTTCTGCGAATAAAACTTAAAATCGCGATACTGGTCAATGTGTTCATATGTATATATATTTTATTATTCGGTCTTTTTTACCTGCAAAGTTGGCGTTTTACAACGCCGGCCATTTGAAACGTAATTTAGGTATGGCTAAAAATGCAGGCAACATTGGAGGAAGCTTGTGCAAAAACTGGACCAAGGTGGTCACGACCCTCAATAATGAGGACAGACAAAGAAGAAGAAAATTTTAACTTACAAATGACTTTGGTTTTAAAAATATGGAATTTTATTTTCGAATTCTGTCATTTGTTTTTGATTAGTGCTTTATATACATTTATTTTAATTTAATTTATTAAATTTGTATCTTTTCCATCAATATGGACACGATAAAAATTTGGAATGATGGTATACGTGTTCCGTCGCGGTAGAATTGCCTCACAAACCTTTCACAAAATGACGTGTAGGTACGGAGCAAACACTATAAACGAAGGCACGAGTGGCACGACTCCTGAAAACTAAAATCAACAACGATGGATTAAAAACGATAATTGAATGGACTGACGATACTCAATCTACCGCTGAACTAGCAGTCGCTTTCAAAGTTAGCATCAAAACAATATTAGTTAATTAGCGACAAATTGGCAAGGTAAAGAAAACTTAAGTGGGTACCGCACGAACTGAATGATCGCCATCGCGACGAACTTCTTAAGGTATGCCTTGGGTTGTTTAACAGACACGGAAGCGAGAGGATTTTAAAATGCACTGTCATTTGCTGTCAAAAAGGATTCTTTTGGATAATCGTAAGCGGTCATCATGTTGGTTAGATCCTGTTTCAGCACCTAGGTAATAAACCTCAAACGAAAACGTAACTATAGAAAATCATAAAACAATTTCTTTGTCTATGCGTGTATAATTCATCACACTTCTTATTAAATGGCACCAGAATTAATGCGAATGTGAACTGAGTTTCTCACAGTTGACACAATTATGAAGAAGCTATAGAATTTATAACAATGCTCGACCCTATACAACGAAACAGACGGTCTCTAAGCTACAAGAGCTAGGGTTGCAAGTAACGCTGACAGACTTCTAGTTTTTCTTAAGCTTGGACAACTTCTTGGCAGGGAGAAAATTGAATAGCCGAGAAGCAAAACAAAATGCCTTTGAAGAGTTTGTTGGCTCCTATAAAAACTGAATTTTTCAAGAAGGGTATTGAAAAAATACCCCTGCGCTGGCAAATATAGATCGATACCATGGGTTGATGTTTAGAAATAAAAAACTTTGAATAAAAGAATTGCTTTAACTTTCTGTATAATAAACGACAATCTCGTAAGTAAAAACCTAATATTTTAAATTTCGGTAATCTTCTATGGCTGAAGTTACCTCATATTAGTGCTCTGGGAAGTTATTTGAAATGATCATGCCATCTCTTTTTACCATCATACATCCGTCACCGGGGCAGAGTTCATCCATACTTCCTAGAACTAGTGCATCACCAAAGATTTGTTACATATTATATATAAGCTTTGGGACGAAACATATCCTTCTTCAAACGAGGTTTGAGTAGAGTCCTAAGCGGTAAGTGGTAATTTGCCTGTCCCCATTGCTGACGTTGATAAGCGATGGTGACCACTTACCATTCAGCTGCTCATATGCCCGTTCTTCTGTCGAAGTTAATAAAAATACATTTAAATTATACGTACATATCTATCACTGAACTAGATACGACATTATTTATCTGCTGGATTTAAAAATAGGGAAAATATACTTTTCGAATCACCCGTGACTTTTTTTTTTTTTTTTTTTGATTGAAAGTTTACTGGTGGCCCGAAGGCCTTTCCAGTTTCACCAGGACAGGTGGGCGAGCAAAGGCTCAGCCAAGAGGGGTGGGATTTGCTAACAACTGCCCGAGCGCCTCCGAAGGAGACCTAACAACTCAAGAGCAATTGTTTCGCGAATGAATCTACTACCGGATCGGAATCGCGACCCGCTGAGAAGATCCGGCGAGAAACTCAGCGGGCTGATGCATGGGTTAGGTTGCACGTCGACCTCTTTGTCGAGTTCGACGAGTACGGTTACCGGGGTCCCTAAGCCTGCCCCTAGTATTAGAGCTGAAGGCATCTAATGCAAAGGTTATTGGATCTGATGGATCCGTAAGGACGTGTCTAGGGCCACCCGTGACTACGGAGCATCGGGATATATGAAAACTGAAAAGACGATCATGACGGATTACGTTGACCTCAATTATGAAAAAAAAAGAAGAATTTTATCGATATTTCAAACTAACATTTCGACAAAATTGTATTAACCATAAATTTTTGTTTTATCAGTTAAAGTAAGATTAAACAAAACAAAAATCGTTCTTAGTTATAGTAGGTATTTGATTTTACTAGACGCGCTCTGAAATTAGCAAAAATTGCACCTAAACCACTTTTAAAACAACTGTCTTTTGCATTTTAATAAATAAATCTACTTTTAAATTAATTTCATATATGTCTACTTTGCATAACAAATTTAATTCACATTTCTCTGTTTCCAGAAGTCAATTCAGTAAAAAGTTAAGTAGTATAACATTATGCTGAAAATGAAGTATGCTATATTTCTTATCTCTCTCTTAAAATTAGTTGTAATCTTGTAATAATATAAACTTTTTCGGGTCATTATCCGCGAGCTCATAGCTTGTCCGGTGTTATGCATTGAGAAAGGTATGGCTTGAAAAATTATTTATAACCTCTTGAAAAGAAAATACGTAATAGGTAGGCACATATTCGTAATGGGTACATATGTAGGTACGTATTTCAGTATGTTTTAATTTCCGATAAGCAAAAAACTGTTTCTATACATTCATTTTAGTTTCATATAGAAAATGTACTGACAAGACGTATCTGTTTCATTAGGTACTGAAATCGAGAGAATTTTACTGAATTTACTTAAACGTTCCTGTCTAAAATATTGAATAGTACTAACATGTTTACGGCGGGCAACTTTAGTCTCCATTAATACCGTAATTTACTTAAATTTGACCACAAAGTCTACATAATTATTACAATATATGTAATGTTTTTTTATAGATTACGGAACTTTTGGTAAAACTAATGTATATATTTACCTTGGTACCTTAATTAGTTTAGTGAACGTATGAACCTTTATTTCATTTTAAAGCAAAAAATAGCTTCAATGCTAGCAGCCTCGAGGTCTACAGAGCAGTTTATCCATACTGTCTGGAATTACGGCCTTCATCCATAGTGTTTCCAAAGATATTATTTTCCACGTACCATCCGGCTCTGGAATGCTCTGGCAGGCTTCAAACGAGGCTTGCGGAAAGTACTCAGTGGTAGGCAGGGAGGTGGTTATGCCCCTGGCATCATGACGTCAATGAGTGACGGTAACCAATCACGATTACTTGGACAGTATTCTCGTACGTCTACAAATACAAAAAAGAAACCATTAGGAAGCAAAAGAGGTTGCTCCGACGTTCGAGCGAGCAACGTACTTTAAGATTTCAAAGGATTTTAAATTGGTGGTTAATCATTTATTCATCAAACCACAATGGAACCGCTACAACTACAAAACTACCAAGTGCTAGTAATCGCTGTTTTACGAGAAATAAGGTCGATTATTCGCTATACCTAATGCGAAGCCTCGTAAGTCGGTTAATTATAAACAAAACCGTTTGTAGGATAGCTTCCTGTTAGTCCTGACGCATTAACATAGAATGTGACTTTTCACGTAGTTGAATTGCTTCATCAATTCTGCCCGTTTTGTTAAGACTTATAAATATTATAATATTCAGTTTTTTTATGTGCGACATCAATTTCATTTTCCATGAATGGTTTTGCCGTGGAAATTTTAAATTTAGAATTTTTTGGAAAGAAGTTCATAACGCGATTTGCGGCAGAGGTAGACTGATAAAAATCGTCAGATAGCAAAAAAATCATTATGCCCCTGGTTTGATTTAACTATAAACAAATGTTATGTAAAATATAACCACATAAAGACTAAACTCCGATTTACTTAACTGTAAACTTATATTTACAAATGTAATCTCCGCCTTACATCAGTGACTTTAAAGGGAAAAGGAAAAAAAACGAATGCAAATCGCTACTTTTAAATCTAACAATCGGGTTTTTATAATTTTTTCAGTACAGGTAGGCAAGTAAGAACTAGTGAACAAAGATGAAACAGTGGAAACCCAACTCACAAGAACTTATGAGTACTAATTTGTAGTAAATATATTAGATAAGTCCAGTATTATAATGAACATGGTAAAAGTAAATTGAAAGAGCATTTTAGTTTTTAATTTTTAATGAAATTAAAGGCACATGTTGAGAAATATACACATATTATTATTATTATTTTAATTTTTGTTTATTGCTTAGATGGTTGGACGAGCTCACAGCCCACTTGGTGTTAAGTGGTTACTGGAGCCCATAGACATCTACAACGTAAATGCGCCATCCACCTTGAGACATAAGTTTTAAGGTCTCAGTATAGTTACAAAGGCTGCCCTGCCCTTCAAACCGAAACTCATTACTGCTTCACGGCAGAAATTGGCATGGTGGAGGTATCTAACCGCGCGGACTCACAAGAGGTCCTGTACTGTCCCCACCAGTATAAATCAATCCAGTTATTTGTATCATTGCCAAGATACCATAAATATCGCACGGAGCACTGTGACTTGGCTATGAAATGACGTATATGTTTTTTCCTCAAAGCGAAGTCGAAGATGCAAGCCACCAAATGGAATCTATGCCTAATGGAAGTGGAGACACTCTCCCGTGGACGTTAGTAAAGACAAAACCAAGCTGTGTTATATTTGAAAAAAAAAAACGCAGGTCCAAAAAACATTGAGAAATGAATGAAATTTTCGTTTCCTAAATAGATCTTTCCTAAAGAGAAAGAGGAAAGAAGTGTTGACATCCCGCAGAAGTTGGGTAGACGTCCGTGTTATTTTTACCAGCAAGCAGTTATTCCTTCCAGATCGATAAGCACCTATATCACCTTTTTGTCCATAGGTCTCATATCCTGCGACGACAACGACTTTCTTATATCTACGGTATACGGTAACCGCATAAAATCATATGTAACAAACAACCAATAAATAAATAAAACTTCTAACTTTACGACAGTAATGCCGTTCAGACATAAAAGGATTATAGACATTTTAAATTGATTGTTACTACGTATAGGTACAATGTACTCACTTTATTTAACTGATTATAATTATATATTATACAATATTTAGTTACTAGTGGTCCCGCAGTAGTCGAAATTTGACTATAATTAATTGAAATTATAAGTTTGAACATTATTATGGTTATATTGTCAAAGACTATTAGGTATACTTATATATTCACAGATTTCGCCAAGACTGTAGACAAATAATATTAAAGATAATTAATTTTCTTATAAGATTAATAACCTATTTTCAATTTGACCACAGACTTTAAGCATTAACTAAAGTTTGACAATAAACCACAATAAACAAAGGGTATATATACATGTGTGTGTGTGTGTGTCAAATAGATGTCAGTATGTGTAATGTTTTCTTTATTGATTTAATGTATCCTTTATATATGCATTATTCTAAAAAAATATTATCATTGTGCACTCCTTCTCTATATTCTCTCTAAGTGTGGGAAATTTTATACTTCTCCGTCCGTGCAATTTTCGTAAAAAGGGGTACAAAGTTTTTGCCTCACGTATTAATATATAGATTATCCAATATATGCGACATAATTTTAGTTTCTTAAATTTTAAAAACCAAGGAACCCTGTTGTCTCTGTTACTACGATATTAAGAGTACTTAGTTATAAAAATATATTCTAGATGTGCAGACGACCCGCCCGCTGATAAGCAACTAACTAACAGATCCAATATCATCACGACATGAACGCTGCCCCTGGTCCTAATAAATGAAATCGTAGCTTCAATTCTATTGTACCATACAACGACACTACCATATTTCGAATCGGCAATTAGGATTGCTTCACAGCAGAAATAATAAGTACCCGTGCGAACAAGATAGAAATACTTCTACTGTATCTTGTATTCAGAATAAATAAAATTCGACACGTTGTGCGTGTTCCATAACATTTCTCATGCGAGATGTTTTCGAAAAATTGTCGAAAGGTGAGACATTAATTTTCATCAAACCTGGCATACTTAATAATAATTAATGATTAATTCGGTTATTGTATTTATCAAAAAGTTCAAACAAAAAATTGTTTTGTCACAGTACCTATGTGATATTCTTACAGTTAAAACACACAAAATACGTTTCTTTTAATCAAAGCATTCTAAATCAATGTCAATAACCTGATAATGATTAATGTTACCAAAAACCTTAACGCGGTATTGTCTAAAAACTTACCATATTTTTTTGGATTTCAACACAAGTAATTACTTATAATTTATGAAAACGAAACAACGAAATTTTAAAGTATTCAAATGCCACTTCACAAAACAAATATTTGATGTACCTCCGTAATAATTTAATACTCACTCGTTTTAATGAATATCACTAATTTGGATAAAATAAGCGCGGTTGACTCTGAATGGGGCTTCTTGGTTCGCCAATCGTTAACTTGAGACTGAGAGTCGCCGGTGACACCAATTACCACCACTATCGTCGGGTGAAGGCAATAGCCATAACGTAAGGAGTAAGGTTAAACACAGAGCAAGAGTGAAAAGTTGTTTTGTGAATGGTAAATTTAGAAAAAGAAACAAAGATTAGAACATATGTTATTCTTATCCTAGAAAGCATTCCAAATTTGATTATTCTACCTAATCTTTTATATTACGTTTAAGATGTGGGTACAGTTAATTTATTGACTATATTCTCAGCGTGCGAGGACGTCCAGATTGTATAAACGACCTTTGATCTAGTGAAACCGAATGAAAATTTTAAATTCAAATTCTGCTTATTCGATTTTGGCATAACTAAATTGTTTGATACAACCGAGGTTTCGTTATGTTGCATTATCTGAAGTTTTTTGTTTATTACTTTAAACACAATGAAAGAAAAGGTGAGCGATACAGTAGCGTAGCCCTGCGAATGGTAATAAAAATAATCTTAACGGCCGTCTGGTGTAGTGGTAAGTGACACGGTCACTACACAAGGGGGTCGCGGGTTCGAATCCCGCCAAGGGAAGATATTTGTATGGTAAATATAAATGTCCTTTCCAGGGTTATGGATGTATATTAAAATATTAAATATATGTACGTGTAAAATAAAAATATTACATTTATTTCCGTTATCTGGTTGGTACCTGTAACACAAGTTCTTTACGAACTTAGCACGGGACCAGTTAACGTGGCGCGATTGTTATTAAATATTTATTTATTTATTATTATTATTTAATTTTACAACATTTGCGTAACAAACTGTATCAGCGAGTGGTTGGGTGTAACCTTCCTGCCCATTTCTTTTGCGGAGCAATCACGTCACCTTATAGAACTTCTATGAAGTTATCTATCTAGATATTCTAATGAAGCTGATATTTGGATCTGATACTTCAGGGAGGCGACGGTAATTAACAACGTTGGCTGTCATGTATGTCACCGGTGCCTTACGTGGTGCACTGAAGTAATTATGCCGATTTCTCTCTTCAATGTTCTTACCAAAGCGCCGGAATACCTAGAATAGACCATCGGAAAGACGAATCCCCTCGACAAAGTGAGTCGTTGCTGCATGACTCATCTATGGTAATTCAGGAAAGCGTGCGAAACGAGAAATCTGAAGGATATATGAGAATATTCTAAACATGTTGTCGCGCTGCGCCCACCGCTTGGTTGTTCCTTGTACAAACGTCAATTATCGATGTTAATTAGCCTGACTTCTGTTGCGTAAATCTGTGATTGTTATTTTTTATTAACAATGTTATACCAGTACATATAGATACCTACTGATATAGAGAGCAGGGCGTCGTTTATCGGGCTACTTAACCCTAGATAGTTACATCGTCTACCATTATTTAAAAAAAATTAGAACATTAGTTGTCATTAGAAGTTTACAAGTATACTATGTTTTATATTTTTCTTCTGGTTCATCGGACTACAGGAAAGTAGATAGCAGAAAAGTATATGATTTACTAACACAAGCAAATAGAGGAAAAGGTCAACCCCTAGAGTTCTGGTTAGCATACCGGTGTCTTTATATGAGTCGACTATTATCAAAGCCGGCAATGTGACTTTTGGACAATTATTGGTAAATCAGAAAAACGAATTATTGACTTTGTATTCCATTGGCAGTCACAAAACTCTTCTGAACGACATCTTAGATAAATAACAGGTTAAGTATTAACCTTTATTTAATGCAGGTTTTGAACCGTATTCTTTGAAGGAGACGATTATATTCAAATCAATCTGTATTGACATATCAATAACATTTTTTTGTCCAAATGCACAGATTGCCACCTTTGATAATAGATGACTCATAAAGTGTTGTAATTTTTTCGGCAATACATTACCTACGTAGCTTGGCAGGCCTGTGTTTCTATAGCAGATTCTTAAAGGCTCGCCGTTTTCGTTCGTTCCTAGGACTCCTTACTCAGAAATCCCTAACGTAGATATTCAAGAGACATATTTTCCACACAGCGCAATTATACGATTCCAATATTTTCGATGATTCAAAAAATTGTTTCAGATGATGCCGATATTATATATAGTCCGTACCGTACCTTAAGACTTAATTGAAACCAGTTTTGAAATGGGATTGTGCCACGGTAAGATTGTCCATTATCAATGGCAAAACAAAATAAAAATATAAAGCTAGAGAGACAAGAAACGTTCTTATCGTGCCCCGTGACCAGACAGTGAAGTCAATATTGGTGGAACAGACAGCGACACGTGTCCGCATTGTTGAGCAATCATTAGTATTTTTGTAAAAAAATTCGTTATCGTATCGTACACAAGACACGAGCCGGACATGCCTACATTCCACGACCTTATCCCTAGACCAGTGATTCTCAACCTTTTTTTGTTGCGGTACATATTTAACGATTTCAAAATTTGGCGGCACACAAAGAAAAAGATAAAAATTATTTACTTACTACAACACACTGCATAAATAGTTTATGACAAAAAAAAAAAATATACGAAATAAACTAATATATACTACAATAACGACTAAACGTTTATTAAGGGATTAATTACAAGCTAATAATAAAAATATTTTTAATGCGAAATTTGAGCTTGATGTTTTTTGATAATTTCATTTATATTTGGTCGTCAAAATGACAATTTTACTCTCATATCGTCCTCTACATTTAACAATCTTGATCTTTTTTTAGTTTTAATGTTGGCTAATGCTGAAAATCCGAATTCACACAAATAAGATGTGGAAAATTGTAATAATATGTTTAAAGCTTTTTTTGGCTATCATTCCTATCCTATACTATCATATCCTATCACCTAACGTTATCATTATCACTATTATCATCATTAAACTTTCTTCTTTTTAACCATTTATCCATTTTCAGAATGATCTGATAAAATAAAAATAATATTGTCGAAACATTTAAAAAAAATGGTTCAAATATTACCTTTGAATTTATAATAATCTAAATTATGCACTCACTTATAATTTATGAATATGGAAAATTAAACCTTTCTGAAATTGTGAAACTTTCACTCAAATACAATTTTCCGTAGATAAAACTTAAATGTTATGCGAAGAAATACAGACACAGTGTGCGTGTGCAGCAAGTCAGCACATAAGCTCGGGATTCCCCGTGAGATGTGTACACAGCGCACGTGTTCAATCACAGTATTTAGTAGAGTGCGATAAAAACAAAAAAAACTTATTTGGAAAACCGTGTAAAAGCGAAAACGTGTAAAACAAGTGCCGTGTAAATCGGGGCATAGGTGTACTGCAAAGTTAATAAGTTTACAAATTTATAAATTGACACTACATGCAAATAAATTAATATTAAACCGAATCACATACATTTGCCAATTTTAACGAAAGAAAAGGTGCAGTAACTACTATGCAACACCTTGTGAACCCCAACTATCACTAAAACAACACGTTTTGTACGCAGAAGTGGCAAGTGTGCGCCGACTTGAGACATATTCCTATTGCTATGCACGCCGCTTCATCATAATTTGGCACTAAGAAAAAACGCGTTGCAAAGCAAATAATAAAATAATTTATTTTTTTGTGGATTTAAATATATATTCATGCTAAAAATATTTTTCTTTTTAAATGATATAATTTAATAATATTAACATTATTATATATTTGCAAAATTTGGCGGCACACTTTTGAAATTTGGCGGCACACAAAAGTGCCGCGGCACAGTGGTTGAGAATCACTGCCCTAGACATTCATTCATGTAATGATTGGATTGTCCATATAGTAGATTGTAGCTCTGATCGAGATACTAGAGGTCAGTTGTTATTCGGTTGGTGCCAATGCCCCCTAAACTGACGAATTGCCTCTGTAGACTACTCTTTCAGTGTACATAACGTTTCACTTTTCCTTTTTATATGTCTAAGCTGTCTCTTGAAACAAGTTTCTAAAGAGTCCTCAACGACTCTGGTATCTGGCGCTATAGATGAAATTGCTAGTGTACATACACAAGCATGAATAATTACCGGTAGGTAGCTAGAGAATATTTAAATATTCGTTGAACATTGTAAATCGAAACAATCCTTTCCCTAATCGTACTGGGTAAAAATCACCCATGTAGCAAAAGGAACTAAATTAATGGAACATTTTTAATTACAAAAAATAAATAAAACTCAAGTTGATTAAAATTAATATGTATTTATTTTTCATTCTTTGACAACCAGAACAAATCCTTTAATAATGTGCATATAATAAATTTCTAATCTTTTATATTCAATATAGTATTTTATTTAGTCTCCAAAAAACCGATGATACAGCCGGAAAACAATTAGATTTTATTTTTGGTAGAAAATACGATAGAAATTAACGCATACAATAATGAAATACATATTAATTATAAAATAAATCAATACTTTATTAATTATTTAGAAAATCACTAAAATGAGTACTACTTACAATTTTTAAAGATGACGAACTTCTATTTTACTTCAGTATGGCAATCGGCTTCTTGGATAGAAATCCAATTCTAATCATCCAATTCCATGCAATTACTTTAACGGAGTCTAGTAGCTCGTTGTAATACAAGGATTCGCCTTGAACTAGAATTTTCTTGAGCTCGACCTATAGGTATTTATCGTTTTCTGGGACGTATTTCTCCAATCCCGTCCAATTCCTTAATTTAATTATTTTTCCAAAATCCAAGGAAGTAGTAGGTAATAATAACGGCGAGCTGTTATTCCTCTAAACAACTATTCGCGGCTCAGCTCAAACAAGTGACCTTGTAAATTCTGTTGTGGTATTGCGACAGCTGGAAAGGCAACAACGCATCAGTTGAAGGCATTAAAATGAACAGCGATCGGCAGACGAGCTCAAGGCCCATTCAATGTTAAGCGGTTACCAGAACACATATACATTACAACGCAAATGACCCAATTAATCATTATAGCATAATAGTTGTGTGCGGGCTCACAACTATAGTACCTAGTCACTCGACTCATATACCCTGAGCGTCCTACGCATTAGGCTGCTTGTTTGATGCTTAATA